ATAAATATAATATATTCCAGAATAATTCAGATTTAGTTTATCATAATATTGAAATTGCGATAGATGATTCTCAATAATTATAAGAGATATCTGTAATATATAATGATATTTATCTTATGATTTCAATTTTAAATTTTCAATATATAATCGAATTATAAATTAAAATTATATATTTATTATCATGAAAAATTATGAAATTATTCATAATTTATTTATCTCTTAGAATAAAAGAAACGATTATATTCCGAGAGATAAGAAATATATATCTTGAGAAAATAATGAAATGAGATGAATATGAATCAAGAACTAATCTATTCAAATATTGGATTTCTAAATTCTTTGATATATATATAGATAATATGAATATCGAGATTCATAAAATATATGGACCTATAATCTGTAACCTCATTTTCATTTATGATATTATAACAGATGCCGATCGAATAAATATGAATTCAGAAATATTTCTAATCCCAAGGAGTAGCATAATTCATAATTAATTCTGATCTCTATTTTCCCAAGCATACCAAATCCCGCAGTCGGATCGTATAATAAATATCTTCTTCTGTAACGATGAACATCTATTTGTTGCTCTAAAATCTAAACCGACAATAAAAGGTTATTTTTTGGCCGCCTCTGGTGTGTCATCGATTTTCTGCTGCTTGTTGGGCCACCCGGCAGCGGAGAGTCGATATAAATAGTGGCCTTGTGGTTCAAAGGTGAACGGTGTAGGGTTTAGGGTTGGAGGTTTAGATTATGCTGTCGGTGGGTTCAATGTCTTGGGTTTCGGGGTGACCTTCTAGCTGGGAAGAGGTGCCGCAAGCTTGGTATGCAGTACAGGGAGGGCACCATGATATCTGTCAGGATATGGAACGTACTATGGTCGTGAGTCGTGACCATGGTGTTCAGGCTGAGGGGCTTGCCGGGGATCATTTGACTGCAGCTTGTGTAAGTGAAGAAGGAAGACTTAGACGGGCAAGGACAGCAATCAATATGTCCAGGACCATGAATCGTGGGTTGGTCTTCGTGCTTGTAGTCTAACAAGGGAATGTTCAGAGACGAAGCCGGCTCTGAGGCAACGTTACGGATTGGGACAAAGCTTCGCAGGTGATCGATGCCAAAAGTTCCGAAGCCCGAACATAACTGACAAACCCGAGCCCAAATATCCTAACTTCGCAACGCAATAGCAGAATGTCACCAGTGGGATTCCTTCCGGGTTACTTGATACTTCGTTGCGAGCAAGATCTTGGGCACAAATATGGCTAACCAAAACAAAACTACAATCACCTAACATCCCACCCGGGTAAACACCCCCAATCTTGAACCCATAACCCCGACCTTCAACCCAAAACTGTGCAAGGTTCAGCTGAGAGGCCGATCAAGGGCTCGGGCCGCTCCGGCAGCCGCTTCTTGTAGGCCTCACCAGCTTGGTGTCTTTCGTTTTTGCCGTATTATTGTGTTTCATGTCTTCTCTCAAGGTGTGTCTACGGTTGAAGGGTTTAGGGTGTAGGGTTGGCGCATTGAATGGCGTTCAGCTTGGGAGCTTCCGGATTTTAGCTTCACGTATTTTCTCGACAGGCCAACAGTTCACGTTTTGGTGCTGGGGATAACCCAACTTATGTGTGTTCTCCTCAAGGCTGTCAATTGTGCCTTCATGCGAAGGATCAAGTCAACAGAACAAACACACTGGAACGATTCTCCATACGCTTCACTACGCATCGCGCGCAACTCGCTCTCCCCGGAACTCGGTTGGATCACGCACACTTGGCCCGACACAGCAAGGTTCCATTGTGGTGCTTTGGGTTTACCAGTGAGTTCGAACGTGTACTTTTTTTCTATTCTGCGCTGTGCGTGTACTTTTTTTACTTTTACCGCTTACTGTTTATTTCGGTTTAGTTTTTTTCTTGGCTTATGTTCGGATCGATTTTATCTGTTTGTCAAGGCTTGTTTTGCAGACTGTCTATCCTGCAAATCCGAAACCGATCGTCCCAAACCCCAAGTGTGTGGTTTACAGAGAGTACGAAACGTATACTTTTTTTGCGGACACAAAAAAGCGTACTAGCCCGCACCGGGCCAAAATGTCAACAAATATGTTGAAAATACGACCCGTACTCAACCCGTACCCGTACCCAACCCGAACTATGTCGACATTTTGGGTGAAAACAAGCCGTACTCAGATGTCGACATTTACCCGCACTCGCTTACTTTTTAGCTGTACCCTGTGCACAGCACGGTTTTGGCCCTCCCGCTAGCTCGAAATGTTAATAACTATTCCACTCCTCTGAGTATATTTTAAGCCCGTAATCATGATCGAAGCAACCGTGTTTCAGTGGATTGAAATTGACGAAGTAAGAATGCTTCCGCGTTTACTTTTTTCTTCCGTACCGAAAAAAGTATACCGTGTTCCACGAATAGAAAAAAGTAGCCGGACGAACCTACGGGTAAAGATCAAGAACGCGAAATAGTCAGTTGGGGAATGCAGGGGTCCCGCTGCAATCTAGATACTCCGATCATTACGGCATGTATCACAAGCAATTCCAGTATTGACGCGTTTGTCACGCTGCAATCGAAGCGGGAAACACCGCAGAAAAGGACCCATGTAAATAATGCATGAATATCCTTTCAGCTTACAACAGTTTGCAGGAACAGAATGCAAGCGCACAATCCACTTAGTCGTTCATGGTTGTGGCCGTCCTGCCGGTATCCCAACCCTATGATCTTCAAGAGCAGCGGTGTGCTGAAGGAATCCGAAAGTGAAGGCTGACCGATCCGGCACATGGCAAGACTGTGAGGAATGCATGATGGATTCCTTCTCAGTTGCTCGCAGTCGTAGCAGAAACGGCAACCAGCACACCGGCAAGAGACAATCGCCAACAAGTCAGGAAATTGAAATTGGTCTGGAGTGCCGCGTACCACGTCCTCACTCTAAACCCCAAATCCCAGGCCATACACCCCAAACCCTAAATCCGAACATCTCGTACCATATCCTAAACACCAAGCCCCAAATCCTTTGAAGTTTCTGGCTCCACCTTACGTTCTCTGAACAAAGCACCTTAGGAGCTTACCGTCTCTTCATGGCGCCCTAGCAGCCTATCGAAGTCGAAGAACCAAAATCCGAAACTCGCAGGTCCGTTTAAGGACCAGGGTTACTATAAGGTTAATTATTAGGGTTAGGCTTTAGGGGGCTTAAAGGGTTGTTAATATAAGAATATAAGAAAGTTTATGAACAAGGCTACCATAAAGGTTCTTTGAGTCTTGAGGCAAGGATTATCAGGCCTGAGCACAGTAGTACTATTTGGCGCATGGCTTTTTAGGGGCTTGAATAATTTGCAACATTGCTTCGGGCTGAAGCTTCTTTGAACTGCCGCCTTAGCTGTCGAGTAACGACTGTTGTGCTTCAAAAGCTAAGGTGGCGCCTGAAGCATACGACATTTGGTCAGAAAAAGCTACCAAGATCCGGCAGTACGATTCGTTCGGCCGACATTGGTCACTACGAGCTGTTACGACTGACATTCGGCCAAGTAAGGCCCGACAGTACGATTCTTTACGGACGACGCTCGTCAGCATCCGACATGCGCCAATTTTATGAGCAGACCATAGCAGACCCTGTGCCGACTCCTAAACGCTGACAACGCCGCATGGGCCACTACTAGAAGCCAGTAACGAAACAAAAACACCCGCACCCCAACAAGTAGCCCAAACTAGAAACCCTGATCCAAAGCGGTAGAAACTCAAGATGGCACTCATACCTTGTAGCGCTTACGAACCCTAACCCTCCCAAAACTATACTTGCCAAGCGAGCCAAGCCATGCTCAAACATCTACCATGACACGACTGACAAAAAATGCAACAACCCCTTGTCTATAATTACAGCCCGCAGCCCTAAACAGCTGAACATCTGAAACCCTGAACCCCTAAACCAAAACGCCTTAAGCCCTACCCAGCCCTATATACACCCCTAAACCCTATAAACGCTTGAAGCCCTAAACCCCTAACCCGAAACCCTAAACCCTAAACCCCAAAGTTTAGGGTTTAGGGTTTTGGGGGCCCAAAAGTTCCCGGGGACCTCCTTCTCCTCTGCCGACTTACCTTCCGGCTCCTGGTCGATGCGCGAGCGTATGATAGGGTTTAGGGTTAGGGTTTAGGGTTTAGGGTAGCGTCTTCTAGGTTTGAGGGCTCTGGGTGTAAGATAGGCTCTCTCTTTTATGTCATATCTTCTTCCTTCCATAAACTCTTGCGATCAGCGAGCTTCTTTCGTGTTTATGGCTGCTGTGTGCTTGCTTTCTCCTGTGCTGTTTTCTGCAGTCTCTTGTGGCTGCGCCTTGCTTTTCTAGCCTCCGCCCCTAAAGCCTAAACCATCCTAAACCCGAAACCCCTATCCCGAGACGACCCTGACCCCTACGCCCGAAACCCTCAAGTCCGTAACCCGAATCCCCCAAGGGTCTTCGGACTCAAGCTTTGGGGTTGGGGGTTTAGGGTTTTGGGTTTAGGGTTTAGGGTTTTCGGGCTTCAGAGATGATGGCACGGGGAGTATAGGGGCCTTAATGCTCACGGCAATAAGAATTCGAAACAGGTTTCGGAATATTCTTATGCAGTACAATTACATATGCCAAAGAGTCTTGAAGAATCATGCCGGTAAGTATTCAGGCCGCTACAGTAAGCTTCTTGACCGTGGATCGGAACCCTTCGACGGTTCAGGGATTTAAGGTTCGGGGTTCAGGGTTTAGGCGGGCAGCAGGATTCCCAAGAAGACGTTGAGGCAAAGACGAAAGTTCGACTCTCCAGCCAAAGCTTTCCTAAACCTTACTCCTGCAACCCCTTCTATGATATAGGGGGGGCTTTGATGATCAGTATAGGATTTTCGGGTATTGTGTAGCATAATGAAGGGAACTATAAGGGGCCTTCTTTCGGGCCTTGGTGACCATTCTACAGCGAGAGGAAAGTAACAGGAATTTCGGGTTTAAGGTTTAGGGCTAAAGTAACGGTAGTACAGGATTTCAGTTTTCGGTTGCTGGTGTAGACTCTGTTCATGGTGGCTACATGCACGTGGCATTGATCCGCTCTCTGTAGTTCTGGGGTTTCTACAACCCCAACTATATCTGTTACCTTGCTGTGTGGCAGAAGAGAGCTTGGCCTCTTATTCCTAGCACGGCCCTAAACCCTAAACCCTTTAAACCTGAAGGTATACTGCCAGGCTCAAGCCCCAAACTCCAATCTCCAACCCTGAAGCCCTGAAGCCCCAAACCCTAAGCCCGAACGCCATACACCCTCAGCTTACATCGAGTGCTCTTCAAGGAAGGTGCGAAAGATCACACGCGATGTAAAGGTTAGTAAAGATGCAGTAAGCTAGGGCTTGAGAGAATGACGGATTTAGCGTTTAGGGTGCAGGAATTTAATGGGTCTCGGTGTGGAGGCTTGCGACATGTTTCATCATCCTGATGCTTCTTCAGTACCACAAATGCATGCTACCGCCTATGGCTACTGTATCCTGGCCGAAGACATAACAAGTTTGGGGTTCCGCGTTTAGGGTTTAGGGTTTTGGGCACATGGTGCTGCTTAATCCGTGTTGCGCCATGTGCCTGGTTCTCGGGTGACGCGCCGATCTTTCTCATGTCAGCACTTTGCACACTGCTTGCCTGCGCGACTTTGCCGGCTGCTGCAACGACCGTGCTCCGGCGGCGAAAGCAGTATGCAGCGCCGTCGTGCTCTGGCCGAGTCACCGGCCACAGCTTCACCTCCAACTTTGAATGTGTACCTCCAAAAAATTTCATGGGCACTCACTGGGTGAAGGCCTTTTGCAACGAGGTTGGCGGCAATGTCACGTTTGAGCAGTACGGGGGAGCGCACTGCACTGGTGAAGTGCTAGCCAATGAGACGCTTCCTTCGGCTTGCGCTTCATGCGATGATCCAGGTTACCAGTGCTACGGTGGCGGTCTGAGAACTGTCTCCATCTCCTGCATAAGTTCTGGCCTTTCCAGTAGAGGCTCTGCCGGTGTGTCGATGTCAATGATTCTGCTTTCCCTCGTAGAGGCTTTCAGACTCATCTGGGATCATGTATAGCTCGTCGCCGGCCCAGTTGCAAAAAGCACGCAACGCACCATGATTCGTTCTGCAGTCACTTGGCGACCGTTACAAGACTGGTCTCCACCTCCCACTGACATGCGGGGTTGCCCAAGGCCCCTGAAAGCGCAAGAAGCGGCATCCTTTCTGCTATAATCCACTACAATACATACTATCGTTGACCACAGTAACCAAGGGACCTTAATTTTTAGCATAGGGTTTGGGGTATTCTCTACTATAACTATAACAACGAGCTCCCAAAAACCCTATTCTAATTATTAAGGCCCCTACAGTATTCTATGACCTAAACCCTCAACCCTAAACTCTAAACCCTAAACCCGAGCAATGGAATCAAGGCGTGCAGTCAGAGCAGGTGGCGGCGCCTGGTGGTTCAGGGTTTATAGGGTTTAAGGTTTTTAGGGTTTTCAACATTTTTAGAGTTTAGGGTTCAGGGTTTAGGGTTTAGGGGTTTAGGGCTTAGGGTTTGGGGTTTAGGGTTTAGGGATTTTTACTACAGCCATCTGCGGCTCGAGACATGGAACAACCTGAACACTAATAAACCCCAAACCCTAAATTTTAAACCCTAGAAAGCCCTAGAACCCTAAACCCTAAACCCTACATTTTTGAAGCCTATAGAACCCTAAACCGACTCAAACAGCCTGAACCCTAATGGAGCCCATGATCTGAGTAAGCGTAGGAAGGATGGGCCTTGAAGGTCGTTCTCTTCCTCGACATTTCGCAGTGGAATGTCAGTCCATCCTCCACTTCTCGTTTTCCCGTCTTTACCTTCAGGACGAGATCCCACCAGAGGCCTTCCACCCTCCACGTGGCCAGCAGACCGCCTGGCTTCGTGTTGCCGCGTGCTCTCGCGGAAGAGTCGCTGAGGAGCTGGCATTTCCCGATGGTGTCCGCGCGTCGCCAGTCAGCCAACCTGGTTTCGAGCCGGTCACACTGGTCTGTTTTAGCTCTTGATGGATTCTTGCCTCGGGCCGACCAGGAAGCGTTCCATTGCGGTGCTGGGATCCATGATTGCTATAGAGTCTGGTAGGGTTGCTACGAGCCGATGTGCTGAGTGAGGGATTGAGTTATCAAGGTGTGGCCGGCTGATATGCTGTTAGGACTGGCATGTGCGCGCACCCATACTCCAGGCTCATGCTGCGTCTAAAGTCTTTGGCATGCTGTCTTTTGGGTCCTCAAATAAGCAAGCGAAAGTGCCGCGCAGCGCCTGCAGCGGTGGACCTTGGCCAGGGTCGGGGCTCTTATGGTTTTGTTTTTCCTGCTCCACAGGAGTTGGCTCTGGGAGCGAGGCGGTTCAGAAGTTCTGGACCTCGCCTTCGATCCAACCTCCTGCGTTCCCGTCCTTAGCTGGATATCTGTCTGTCGGGGCAATTACTGCGGAGAAGGCAGCCTGGTGACCAGCAGCCCCGACGGTTCGGGTTCCGGTTCGGGTTCGCTGCCTTCCCCGGGCCTTGGCTCGACTTGGCTGGTGCAATTGCGCTGCTGCGCCGCACTCACTAATCCTTGTCTTGAAATGCGGCCAAAGCACTGGTGCCGGGCTGGATCCGTGCGAGGGGGAGGGTGATGCGTTTGCGAGGGCAGTAAGCCTTGGTC